AAATCAACATCTGATTTACTCATTTGTCTTTTATATTGGCCATGCAGAGGTTTAAATTTAAATCTTGTTTGTAGTTCTACTTGCAGGTTATCTTTTAAGGCTTTTCCTTTGTTCTTTTCGACTATTCTGGTGGGCTTTCATTTTCCTTTGATGTTATCTCTTGTAGCTTGGATTCCAGTTTGAATTTGTGATGTCATAGTTAATCTATTAACTATGGTGCTGTGTCTTTGAATGTTGTGTACCTGCCCTAGTTATTCAAAATTTGGATTTCTTTTATCTATTTTTTGCAGGCTACGCGGTTCCAAGGTCACTTACTTATACCGAAGGCGACAACGCTACATTCAGTGAGCTCAGCAACGCAAGCGAGATTATAAGTCGTTTTGAATTCGGTGTTTGGTTGAATAGTAGCAATTGGAATCCATGCGTTGTCATAGAAGATACAAAAGTACTGAAAAAGCCGTTTGACAAAGCCGCTTTGTGCAAACCTTTCTTTTCTCGTCTGAAATTCCCAACAAAAGAAAACCTAGAACAAGGAAAATCGGCCACGGTTTTGCAAGACATATCCTTGAATGACGAAAAGATCTACTACACTGCTGTTTGTCTTGAAGGAAAGTACGAAAATGAGGATCCTGTAATACAAGAGCTTAAAGTATTGCCTAGTAAGTATGACCATGCCATGCCATGCCATGCCATGCCATGCCATGCTATGCTATGCTGTGCTATGCATGCTGCTTATAATGAGAGGCTAAGTTGACTTACTAACTTAATATCTTATTATCAGGGCAAGTGACGGTAAACACACCAAAATCAACGACGGTCACCGCAAAAACCAACAGTAAGTATGCTATCTACTCATAATAACAGACTTTGTCGTGTCGTGTTGCTTTCTGTACCGATAAATAAGTGTTATAACCAGAGAYAAAGCTGACTAACAAACTTGTAATCTTTGTTACAGGACCAACGACGGTCACTACAAAACCCAACACTAAGTATGCTCTCTTCTTCTAATAGCAGAAATCAAGTTATACATTTCTTTTTTCAGCAGACCTTAATCAAGAGAACAGCTCAGTTCGACTCTAGGGAACGGGCTGCTTTTCAGGGACTAAACCTTTTTCACTCAGCATAATTTCCATTGGATAAACAAGTTGAATATCGTCTACTTACATAGCCTTTTTTACCTTTTCTTGCCTTTTGTTTTCAATATCAGGCGCTGCAGCGAAATCAGAGTACCAGACGATACTTTTCAGCGTGTGCTTCGCGCTTCTGATGACACTGACTTCAATTTAATCACAGGGCCTCAACATTTTTTCAGTGATAACTTAAAGTAGCTAAGGTTAGGTAAGGTCCAAAACGAGTCAAAAAGTAGTATAGGGAATGGGGGTTCCAGCGCAATCTCAACACGGGCAAGACCCGTGTCAAAAATCCACCTACGGACGACCCCCACTCCAAGTGTGGTTGAGGGCAACAGCGCA